ACTTTCCATCAATATATGCCAGATTTCTGACATTACCCTAACTTCGATAGACTTGGAAAAAGCCACTGAGAACATGCCCATGCTCTCAGCCTCGTGGAACTCTGTGTTCATTAAGAACTGCAAGAAATCCCTTTCACGTGCCCTAAGTATACTATGGAGGAGCTTAGACATGGGTGAAATTCCACAGACACTTAAAACAACGGATATAGCCTCACTCCATAAAGGTGTCAGCAAAGGATTAGCAAAGAACTATAGACCAATAGCTCTAACCTTGCACATCATAAAAAAATCTTTGAAAGAGTGCTAAGAAGCATGATTGCAAACCACTTATTCCCAATAACTGCACAATCCAGGGCAACAAGGTTTCAGAGCAGGTCGCTCCTGCCTCTCGCAACTACTGGATCACTATGATATGGCCTTGGATGCACTGGAAGAAAAACAGAATGCAGATGTAATTTACACACACTTTGTAAAAGCCTCTGACAAGCGCAATCATGGCATAATAGCTACGTGCTAAAGGAATAACTGACAAAGTGGGGAGATGGATCTTCAACTTTCTAACCAACTGAACACAAAGAGTAGTGCTCAACAGAGTTAAATCGGAAGCTGCCATAGTGAAAAGCTCTGTTCCACAAGGCACAGTACTCGCCCCCATCCTGTTCCTCATCCTCATATCAGACATAGACAGAGATGTAATCCACAGTGCCATGTCATCCTCTGCAGACGATACTAGGATCTGCATGAGACTGTCATCTATTGAGGACATGGTTAACCTCCAAGAAGATATAAACCAAGTTTTCCAATGCGCAACAGAAAACAATGTGATGCTCAATAAGGACAAATTCCAACTACTCTGTTATGGAAAACCGGAGGAGATAATAACTAGAACAGAGTATACTACATAATCTGATCATACAATAGAGGGTGAAAATATTGTGATGGACCTGGGAGTGGTAATGTCTGAGGATCCTACTTTCAAGGATCACAACAGTGCCACGATCACAACTGCAAAGAAAATGATAGGATGGATAATGAGAACGTTCCAAACGAGAGATGCCAAGCCAATGATTATCCTTTTCAAATTACTTGTTCTCTCTAGGCTGGAATACTGCTGTACATTAACATCTCCATTCAAAGCAGGTGCAATTGTAGATCTAGAGAGTGTACAGAGATCCTTTACTGCAAATATCAGTTCCATCAAACACCTTAACTACTGAGAATGCTTGGAAGCACTTGACTTGTACTCGCTGGAACGCAGGTGAGAGAGAGGTATCATAATCTACACTTGGAAAATCCTGGAAGGAATGGTCCCGAATCTGCACACACAAATCACTCCCTACGAAAGTAAAAGACTGGGCAGGCGATGCAAAATACCCCCAATGAAAAGTAGGGGTGCCATTGGTACACTAAGAGGAAACACCACAAGTGTCTGGGACCCAAGACTGTTCAACAGCCTCCCACCAAGCATAAGGGGAATTACCAATAGGCTCTTGGCCGCCTTCAAGAGGGATCTGGACAGATACTTAAAGTCGGTGCTGGATCAGCCGGGTTGTGGTTCATATGTTAGACTAACGTGCAGCCAGCAGTAACAGCCTGGTTGATCAGGTTCTGATCCACCGGGAGGCCTGGTCATGGATTGGGCCATGGGGGCGTTGATCTCTGGAATATCCTTCAGGTAGACTCCAGGTATGTAATGAGCTGCTTACACTATGTGCACAGGTAATGGGCTGCTCACACTATGCACACAGGCAATGGGCTGCTCACACTATGCACACAGGCAATGGGCTGCTCACACTATGCACACAGGCAATGGGCTGCTCACACTATGTGCACAGGTAATGAGCTGCTCACACTATGTGCACAGGTAATGAGCTGCTCACACTATGTGCACAGGTAATGAGCTGCTCACACAATATGCACAGGTAATGAGCTGCTCACACTATGTGCACAGGTAATGAGCTGCTCACACTATGTGCACAGGTAATGAGCTGCTCACACTATGTGCACAGGTAATGGGCTGCTCACACTATGTGTACAGGTAATGGGCTGCTCACACTATGCACACAGGTAATGGGCTGCTCACACTATGTGCACAGGTAATGGGCTGCTCACACTATGTGCATAGGTAATGGGCTGCTCACACTATGCACACAGGCAATGGGCTGCTCACACTATGCACACAGGTAATTGGCTACTCACACCATGCACACAGGTAATGGGCTGCTCACACTATGCACACAGGCAATGGGCTGCTCACACTATGTGCACAGGTAATGGGCTGCTCACACTATGTGCACAGGTAATGGGCTGCTCACACTATGCACACAGGTAATGGGCTGCTCACACTATGCACACAGGTAATGGGCTGCTCACACTATGCACACAGGTAATGGGCTGCTCACACTATGTGCACAGGTAATGGGCTGCTCACACTATGTGCACAGGTAATGGGCTGCTCACACTATGCACACAGGTAATGGGCTGCTCACACTATGCACAAAGGCAATGTGCTATTCACACTAGGTCCACAAGTGATGTTTTTTACACACTATGTGCACAGGTCACTGTCTTCACAAATTGCTACACCATTATTACACACTATAAGACAAGCTAAATGCTGATGTAGTGTATAGTGATGCTGCTAATGCCTTCAACAAGTGTGACAATGGTGTGATAACACACAACATGCATGAAAAAGGATTCCAGTGGTACCTTGACTTACGAGTGCCCCAACTTATGAATTTTCAGAGTTACGAGCCGTCGTTCGGTTGATTTTTTTGCTTCGAGTTGCGAGCCAAAATCCAAGTTATGAGCAAGCTTTAGATATGCCGTCACTTGCAGGGGAGAGGAAATATCAAAAAACCTCGATGATAACCAATGTGTAACATCCTTTCAGTTTTGATACCACTGGTAGTGTCATCCTGCCAAATTGTTCTAAAATGTATCCCCTAAGTAAAAAAACAATTCTGGAACACATACAGTGGACCCTCGATAAACGTAAGGCTCAAAAGTCGTATTTTTCGAAAATTGTAATGTTATTTTTGTCAAAACATTGACTCGCAAATCGTCATTTGACTCGCAAATAGTTGTTCGTCTGGGACGTGTACACACAGCCCCGAGCCGCCTCACACTCCATTCCCAGCCAGTGTGCCATTGTTTATCAGTGAGTGAGGATGATCCCACGAGTTCATATGATACATTTCATAATATTCCATTTGTTTTAGTGCTTGCAACTGCTAAATAAGACACATTGGCTCCAAAGAAAGCTTCTAGTTCCAGCCCTTTGGTAAAGAATGTGAGAAACACGTATAATTTAAAAGTTTGTAGAAAAATATGAAGGTGGTGGTGGTAGAGTGGTAGCAGTTGTGATAGTGGTAGAGGGTGGTAGTGACAGTGGTAGAGGGTGGTAGTGGTTGTGATAGTGGTAGACAGTGGTAGTGATGGTGGTAGAAGGTGGTAGTGATGGTGGTAGAAGGTGGTAGTGATGGTGGTAGCAGTTGTGATAGTGGTAGAAGGTGGTAGTGATGGTGGCAGAGGGTGGTAGTGGTTGTGATGGTGGAAGTGGTTGTGATGGTAGAGGGGGCCTTCTTCAGTGATTCTGCTAACTCCTCCAATGTTGTTGGAGTTATATAGGGCTACGGAAAACACTGCCGCCTCAGCTGCTGCTTCATCACCATTGTTTCAGTCGTATATATACGTCTTACGAGGTACCGTATTTGACGTATATATACTCAAATTCTAGCGGCTTCAAGTCAAGCAGGAGAAAGCTGGTAGGCCCACATATGAGAGAATGGGTCTGTGTGGTCAGTGTGCACCATATAAAAAAAATCCTAGAGCACGCAGTGCATAATGAGAAAAAAACTCCGACCGTTTTTTTAATTAAAATGCCGACTTTGTGGTCTATTTTCGTATAGTATTTATGGTTGTATTCTCGTTTTCTTGGTCTCATTTGATAGAATGGAAAACATATTATAGAAATAGAGGTGATTTTGATTGGTTTTACTATGAAAAGAACCTGGAAATGGAGCTCAATATAGGGGATATGTTTGATTTTTGCCGATGTTCAAAAGTAAACAAATGATGTCATTGTCCAATAAATGTCCAACTAGCCATTCTAATATGCAGTCATGAATGGGTTGACATTATCTGTACAATTATTACAGTATTGCAGTAGTCCACATAACAGTAAATCTTCTATTTTTTGCTTGAATAAAAATTCAAAATAGAAAACAAGAGTAATATAAGATGGGCCTGGAGACGTGACTGATGAACAAAGAAAATGTTATTTTAGAGCCAGGAATGTCTGCATTGTTCATTCTGAACCTTATTTTGAAATTGTCATATTTTTTAATTTTCGTGAAATTGGCCAAATTGCAAATTTCTGACCACCTTATTGGGTAGTTGAACTCAGTAAATGGGCAGTTTCTTGTACTCAATCGATAGAAAAAAATGGAGTTCTAAAGAAATAGCTATGAGCTTGGGCGACTGGAACAATGGAATTAGCCGAAAATAGGGCTCAAAGTGGGTGAAATCGCTGATTTGTAAATATCGCCTAGGTTGCTAACTTCATGAGAGTGTAATTCCGTCAGTTTTCCATCATATTTCGTTTTTTTTGGTGGCATTACAATCGGGAAAAGATTCTCTATCATTTCATAAGAATTTTTTTTTTTTTTAAATTTTGCGACACCAGGAGACACCTCAGGGGTTAATATTGTTTACTGTCATACAAGTTGAATTGTGATAGATAAATAAGCCATAGAGTTGATATTAGTGTCATATTCTCCAACAATAAACTCACCTCCCCTCTCTCTGCCCCATCTGCCATACACCAACAAAAGTCTTCAATAAAAGGTAAGTGTGATGTTAAATGTTCATTTATACATGTTATTAGTGTTTTACATATTTAAACTAGGGAAGTGACCCCTGAAGTGACCTAGAGCCCTTATGGAGGGGGATTTCCCTTCCAAACAATAACCTCTCTTCCCTCTCTCCTCCTCCGTCTTCCATTCATCAACAGCCCTCAATAAAGGTAACTGTCATGCTGAATGTTCATTCTTTTGTGCATGTAAATCTATCTTTAATACCCTTTACCGTGCAGTGCCTCAATATTGAGGCACCAAAAGTATGGTTTTCATGGCGCCATAGACACAAAGCATATGCTCCCAGAGACTTCTCACCTCAATCCAGCCAATCACACACCTTCTGGTTGGAGCTTGAAGGTGGAGTCACTTGGGTATTGTCCTCTGCTCTTGGCTGGGAGCTCCTCAAGTGTTCAGTACTGCTTGACTTGTTGAAGGAGCAGCATTTCGACCCTCACTCTCCTGATATTTCACCAATTTACACCACTCCAGAATGTCGGTAAGTTTCTGAATGTGTTTCCAGTGCATTATTGAATGTTTGAACCTCATTTTGAGATGTAAATGAATTGCCTGAGGCATTGAGAAGTAACAAATAAATGCACTTGAAGTTTTGTTTACCTTTTTGGTATCAATATTAAGGCCCGGTCTGACAATGGTAGATTATCACTTACTGTTTTTGTATCAATATTGAGGCCCAGCCTGACAATGGTAGATTATCACTTATCATTTTTGTATTGATACTGAGGCCCGACCTGACAATGGTGATAAGAAATGTGCCAATGAAGGTATCATATATCATGGATTAACAGATCATAATTAGACTGTCTGTCACTGATAGCTAACAATTGCATGCTGAATCAAATTCATTGATATATGAGTAATTTTACCTTGTAAATTTATAAAATTTGCTCATATGGAATGCTCATTCTGTGTTTTCTGTTCATTTCAGTTGAACACAAATGTGTTTTATGGATCAAGGGCTCAAAGAAGAAGGGATTACATCGTGCCAGTTACATGATGACAGTGACCCTAATGAGGAAGTGGATTCTGGAGATGATTATGAGCCACAGGCAGATGCTTCTTCTTCAAGTGAAGATGAACATGAAGATTTGTCTAAGAGAAGTGGGCAAGTTAATGTAAAACGAAGAAATGTACGAAAACAAGCAGTTAAAGATGACGAGGTTGAGGTAGATGAAACAACTGTCAACAACACTAATGCCACCTGGAGCAAACTTGACATAACAAATACTCCATTACCTGACTACAAACATGAGGTACCAACACATATCAAGGAACCATTTCAATATTTTTGTGAATTATTTACTGTAGAAATGTTAGAAAGTCTTGTATTTAACACAAACTTGTATGCAACACAGAAAGATGTTAATACTAACTTCAACACCACTAGTGAAGAGCTTATGCAATTTGTTGGAATTCTGATATTCATGAGTATGGACACCCTGCCCTCTTTAGAGGATTACTGGTCCCATTACCACTGTCATCCTGATATTACAACTGTTATGACATCTAAAAGGTTTAGGTTACTAAGGACAGCTATTCATATAAATGATAATACCAAGGCAACAACTGACAGGTGCCATAAAGTAAGACCACTGTTTGAAGGTCTAAGAAAAGCATGCCTAACAGTTCCAGGTACACCAAAGCAATCAGTTGATGAGGTAATAGTGGGATATAAGGGAACAAGAGCAGGAAATCTCAGGCAACATTTCAGGACCAAGCCTGATAAATGGGGATTTAAACTTATTTGCCGGGCCAGCGATGATGGATTTATACATGACATAATGATGTATCAAGGTCAAACAACATTTGATTATCACAGTGTTAGCCTAACAGAGGAGAAGAAAATGCCTATAAGTTCCAAGGTTGTTATTTGCCTTGCAAAGACTATGGACCACACAAAGACCAGTGCAATTCATGCAGATAACTTCTTTACCAGTTTGCCTCTAGTGAAATATCTGCATGCTACATTCAATTGCAGGTACACAGGCACTGCAAGGAACAGCAGAATTGGAAAACCACATGGAAAAAACAAAGGTGAAAAGGAGTGCTATGGATTACTGTTCATTGGATGGTGTCCTTGCTGTACGTTGGAAAGACAGTAAGGTTGTTACTTTACTGACTAATGATATTGGCATCTACCCAGTGACAAAGATAAAGAGGTTCAGCAAGGAGCTCAAACAAAAGGTGGAAGTTGACTGTCCTGCAGTGATAAAGAATTATAACGCCCATATGGGGGGCATTGATAAGAATGATATGTTGGTGCATCTCTACAAGTCTCCACTCAAAGCAAAACGCTGGTACATGAGGCTCTTTGGAAATACCATTGATCTTTGTTGTGTCAATGGCTGGTTGTTGTACAGGCATGACTGTGGTGCTTTGAAAGAGAAATACATGAACCTCAGGGAATTTTGGTTTTCCATCTCCAATTCTGCAAGAAAGTCAACCAATGGAATCCCAAGGAGCCTGAGATCTCCAAGTTGTTCAACTTCACAGTCTTCTTCACTTGATGACATTCCCAATCGGCATAGAAAAAGGCCTCATGATACAATATTTGATGAAACACAAACACACTGGCCAGTTTCTGCAAAGAGGCTTTCATGTAAACATTGCAACACCAAGAACAAGAGGACCTACTCTTCCTTTGCTTGTTCCTTCTGCAAGGTTAATTTATGTCTAAATTCAATGAGGAATTGTTTCCTGGAATTCCATAAGCAACAACATGCTTAAATTCCTCTGATAACATTTTTGTAACATTTTTTTCAATTTTTTATAAAATGTCAATTACTAAAAATGTGTTAAATTTATTGAAATCAAGTTTCTGTGCCTTTTGTTTACCCAAGTTGTTTATGAATAAACCTTAAATGTATACAGTGGACCCCCGGTTAACGAACTTTTTTCATTCCAGTAGTATGTTCAGGTACCAGTACTGACGGAATTTTTTCCCATAAGGAATATTGTGAAGTAGATTAGTCCATTTCAGACTCCCAAACATACACGTACAAACGCACTTACATAAATACACTTACATAATTGGTCGCATTTGGAGGTGATCGTTAAGCGGGGGTCCACTGTATTTATGCCTTTAATTATCAGTTATAGCAGCTGTTATGATTCTTTTAGACAAATGTCTTTGTCAGGCTTGCATCAAATTTGATGCCTGATCTGTCACCTACAGTTTAACCATTGCCGGGGAGTGCCTCATATTTGATGCGGCCAAAAAGGGCATTTTATGGCCCAAAAATAAATAAACTCAAAAAATTATCACAAATAAATATGTCTTAGAATTGCATATACTGTCACAATACAGGTTGCAATTGTTGCATCTGCTCAAATATGAGGCACAGCCTTATTAATTAAGGTAAAAAAAAAAATTTTTTGTTGATACTTCTGGGTGTCTGGAACGAATTAATTGGATATACATTATTTCTTATGGGGAAAATGAATTCGCAAATCGTCAATTTCGATAACAGTTATGCTCTCTGGAACGGATTAATTATGAAAAACGAGGGTCCACTGTATAATACATGTTCGGCAGGCCGGCTGGTTGGGTGGCCGACTGGTTGGGTGGTCAGCTGGCTGGCCGATTTGCTTTGGCTGTCTCTATCTACTTCTGTCTGTCTGTATCTATCTCATAGGTACACAAATACAGTTATACATAGTGTAAATTACTTAGGATAACCCAAAAACTCCAGACAAAGTGCTATACTATGCTTGTAGTTATAAGGCATAATAAGCATGACTGGCAAGTATTAGACATTTTTATTTGTTCAGGAATCAGATGTGATGACTCTGCATCATTCAAAATTCAAAATTCAATTCAATTCAAAATTCAAAGTTTATTCTCTATAAGGATTACAATGCTGAGTTTACAGAATTTGGTTATTGTGTGGTTTACATGTAGTAAAATACTAATTACAGAGGAGGCCACAAGAACACCTAGCATGGCTAGGCATTTCGGGCAGACTTAGATTAATTCTTAACTTTAAAATATCACAAATTATGAGGTAAGTTGGTATTATGGCTAAGTGACTAAATACTAGTTTGTGAGTTTAGCAATGTGAATGCTTTTGTTTTGGCACAATACATAGTTTCAGTATTGGAGTATCACAGGCCAACTTATGACTAGTTAGGATTCATTATTTTAAGATTGAGATTGATATTTCTGTTTATGGTCAAATGGGTGAGTGAGTGTAAGTGTGAAGCACCAGGTGGTATTCGTGTAATTAGTTGAAGGGGTGTATCAGGAGATAAGGTGTGTAATACCTGTTGGTTTATGAGTGGCTCTCTCTCTGAGACAGAGACAGAAAGACAGAAACATAGAAAGACAGATAAGCAGAGACAGAACTAGACAGACAGAAACAGACAGACATGTTTATTTGTAACAGTGAAAAAAAATCCAAGGCAGCGCACGATCATCAAATGTCACTCCACGAGTGACACTCCACTGGCAGTGGAGTGACACTCATCTTACACTGTGCTTCAAGTAGTTTAATGTATACTCCAGCATTTCTATAACATTGCTGGGAATTGGTGAAAAAGGCAAAAATCATTTCCTATTTATAAATACATTTTACTTATTTAAAAACCCACAACAAAAAAAATTGGGGTGGTTTTTTGGGGGCTGGAACGGATTAATGGCATTTCAATTAATTTCAATGAGGAAAATCAATTTGATATATGAGCAAATCAAGTTACGAGCTAAGTCACGGAACGAATTAAACTCGTAATTCAAGGTACCAATGTAACTGGAAAAATGAGTAGATGGATATTTAACTTCTTAACAAGTAGAACCCAGAGAGTAGTAATAGTAAACAGAGTGAAGTCAGAGGCTGCCACAGTGAAAAATTGTTACTCATTCTTTTATCCCATGTAGACAAGAAATATAAATCATGGTGCTGTAACATCCTTCAACAATGACACACCAGAATCCCTGTAAGAGTAGCGCCCATCGAAGATACAGCAAAATCTTCAAGCGGATATAATCTTCCAGTGGGCCTCAGACTACAATATGATCAACCAGACTGTGATGGATATGTGAGCCAGTGGACTAACAGCAGCAAAAGCCTGGTTGACCAGGCAACCACTAAAAAAGCCATGCCCAGTGCTGGTCACAGGTATATCATAAGTGTACAAGTGATGTATGTGTACATTAGGTATGGTGTACACAACATTTGGACTCATACCATGTGTACACAATAATCAGTACATGTGCACACATACAAACACAACTAACAGAATCAATATGTCTGCAGACACAGTTGAGAAAATCAATGACAAATAGGGAATACAATGTGAAGCATTCAGCATGACCCACATACACAAGCCTGCTCTTGTCCCACTCACATCACCTCTTATTACAAATGACCTTATCTGTACCATGCTGGCTAGGGCAGTGGTGTTCACATATACTACACTGCCTGTGCCACTAAAAATGTTACCACAGTTGTATAATCCACTGTGATATACATGCCTACATCATGTCTAAGAATAATTCCAGTTAATCATGAGAGGAAGATGCACAAAATCCTTAAAATGCAATTGTTATTCAGTGTCACAGAATATAACTAAGGGCTACAACTCCACCACTTTTAAAACTATTACAATTTTAAAGAGCAGAACCACAATGTGACAACCCAGCATGATCATTTTCTTACCTACTTTATCTTTCCATGAACACAACCTACCTGAACTGTATTCCAAGAGTCAATGCCCACATGGTCTGTTCCCAGACCAAGCCTCCCAGTGGATGGCCTGATCAACCAGGTTGTTGGTGCTAGGCAAATGAAGTCCACTGAAAGCACCAGTCCTGATCAAAAACTGACTTAAGAAACTTGTTCAATTCCTTCTTGAAGACAGCCCTTAATATATGAAGGGAAGGTATTGAAAAGTTTTGGTTCCTTCACATTCACTGAGCCTTTTCTTAGTGTACTCACTGCATCCCTATTTTTCATGGGGAGTATTTTTCCACAGTGTCAAACCTCTGATTTTCAAGGGAAATGATTTGTTTGCCAAATTTGGGACCAAGATTAGAATTTTCTTTGGAACATTGCTTATGTTCCAAAGAGTACAGATCAAGGGACTTCAAACATTCCCAGTAATTTAGATGCTTAAGTAAATCTATGCGAGTAGTGAAGGATCTCTGCACATTCTCCAGGTCTGCAATTTCACTTGCCTTGAATGGAGCTGTTACAGTAAAACAGTATTCTAGCCTAGAGGGAACAAATGACTGATAGTATCATCACTGGCTTAATATATCTTGGGTAGAAGGTTCTAGTTATCCAGCCTATCATTTTCTTTGTGGTTGTGATAGTGACACTTATAATTCTTGAAGGTGAGATGTTCTGACAATCACTCCCAGGCTTTTCTCATTAGTCTTACATTCTTGCAAAACCCCAGCCTTCTATACATTAATGCATGCACATGCACTACAAATAGTGCAAAGTGAGGAATAAAATTCTAATGCAGTTTAATACAGTGGACCCTGTCTTACGATATTAATCCGTTCCTGAGAGCTCATTGTAAGCCAAAATTATCGTTAGCCAAATTAATTTTCCCCATAAGAAATAATGGAAATCAAATTAATTTGTTCCTGACACCCCAAAGTATGATTTTTTTTTTTACCACATAAAATATTAATTTTAATACACACAAACTGAAGACGACATGCACAATTACTACTCTACTAAGAACAGAATACATGACACTTACCTTTGTTGAAGATCTGGCAATGATTGATGGGATGGGAGGAGGGAAGAGTGTGGAAGTTATTGTTTAGAAGGGGAATCCCCTTCCATTAGGATTTGAGGCAACAAGTCCTTTTCCGGGGTTACTTCCCTTCTTCTTTTAATGCCGCTAGGACCAGCTTGAGAGTCACTGAACCTCTGTCGCACAACAAATATGTCCATAGAGCTCTGTACCTCCCGTTCCTTTAAGACTTTCCTAAAATGGGCCATAACATTGTCATTGTACAGGTTGCCAACACTGCTTGCAGTAGCTGTGTCAGGGTGATTTTCATCCATAAAGGTTTGCAGTTCAACCCACTTTGCACATATTTCCTTAATCTCTTTTTTTCAATTCCATACTAATTCTCACCCTTTTTACCACAGGGATGGCACTAGAAGCTTTCTTGGGGTCCATGGTGACTTATTTTGCAGTTACAAGCACTAAAAACACTGGGATAATGTGAAATGTACCGAATGTATGCGTAGATGCGACCGTACTGGCTGGCTTGTAAACACTGGCGCTGAGGCCACACGTGGGACGCGTCCCAGACGAATCATGTAAGGCGAGTTTTTTATCGTGAGGGGAGGCAAAAATTTTGCATTCAAATGCTTCGTATGGCGGATTTAAAGTAACACGATGCGTTCATAAGGCAAGGGTCCACTTTATTTGAAATGAAAATTTGAAGCTAATCAAAAAAAGCATCCACAAATTATCATATGGAAACTAATATACAATTCCTTCAGTAAAAATGGTTAATTGCTGTCAATTACAACATAAAACTTTGAAGCTAAACTGAAGAGGCATTTTCTTGTTATCTCGGACCAACATCGTAAAATACACTAAAACGTTAAGTTTGCAGCTGCTCAGAAGTTGCATTATCAAGTTATCAGCATTACAGTGTTGAAACTAATCCATTAAGACATTCAAAAATTATCACACAAGACCAGCATTTCAATATTCCCAATCTCTTACACAAAAAGGCAAATTAGGACCTATATGGGTCAAAATCAATCAAAATTTTCTCTAAGATTAGCCAGCATTTAAGGAAAAGCAAGCAAACAACTGTTATTTAGGCATTGGGTATATTATGTTTCAAGTTTTTTACA